ATGATTCTACTGTTTTGCGATATTTTTAGGAGGTGTAGGGTTTTGAGCATTGGGAAAGTTGATATCTTGGGTGCTGAGGGAAATTGACTGGTTTGCCAGATTTTGAACCTGATCGAGCTCTTCCTGGAATTTCAATAGTTTATGTTCAAGTTGTGACACATTTTTGTTATGAACCCAAATACCCTAGCCATTAGTGGCCTCTACCCGTTCAGCTGTGTTCTCCTTCCTGATGTTGTTTAAATCTTCCATTTTGCCTTTGTTCTTGCCTTTAATAGGACTAAGAGGTGGAGTGGGTGGAGGGTCCTTGGATTTTGTGAAATAAGATGATGATGTCAGAGTGCACGAACTAACCTCTGAGGAGGGGAATAATAAGAAAAATAAAAACAAAAGGTAATCAAGTCAGTGAGGATTATAAAAAGTATTACAATATTTAAACTCATAGTGCGGGAATGTAAAGTGTGTCCTAATTTGGGAACCTCTTTGTGCCTGAGGTAGTCCTAGCGACAAATAGACTTGGAGAACTTTTAATGCTAATAAATGCTTCATTTCATAACATAAAATAGACGAATCCCAAAACGATATTAAGATGATAATAAGTCACTACTGGCACTTGGCCTTATTACATTTGGAAAGCGAGTAAACCTAATCTATTTGGCCTCAGAAGTACCTTCCTCATGTTGAATGCTCTCATTGATCAAATCCTCCAGTTCGCGTAGGTTCACCAATAAAAATACCTTTGCCAGGTGTTCTCCTTCATTTCCCTCATTGTTCTGGCAGTTGGTGACTCTCTTCCTCGCTTTTCCTTCCAATTCCAGCAGACTATATTCCAGATATTCCAACTCTTCGCTAGCTTTGGCATCCCTCTCTTTCCACTCATTGATTTGGTCATTTGATGGAAGACTCCTCCACCCGTCTAGCAAGAGTGGAGGCATTCTAACCATACCGAAACTGGGGACCTCGTGCCTCATTTTCTACAAAACAAAAGGGTTAGGCCCTACCCCCACCAGACTCGACTATTTATACAATTATGATCAGCACATCGCCATTTTGTTCTCCAAATAAATGCACATAATGTGATTATGCCCGTTTGGGTTTAGGGAAACCCAGTGGACTTTTGGACAAGGCTATCTTAAGGGATCATTACGTGGACAACATAACTGACCCGGCTAGGTTTAACCATGATGTCATGCACAATTTAAACAAAGTAAGGTTTCTATGGGGGTTTTAGACTGGTACCCTTGAGTGGACAACTCAAGGGGGAAGGCACGAAACTGTCAATTGCACGGCTGATCGACTAGTTTAATTTAGGGGGTAATGATATAGAAAGGGCGCAACCACTCATCAAACGTTGCTATAGTATTTGTTTGGCACGAGTGGAGTATGATTAAGCATGATTATGCAATAACTAAAAGCATGTTGACATGTATTTGCATGTTCAAGAAAGTAATAAATAAAGCAGTTTTATAATTTAAAGTAGTTACAAAAGGAAGGAAACAAGAAAGATATGTCAGTTTTGCTTTTGTAGAAGAAATTAAACGCTTAAAGAAATTAAACAAATAATTGCACATAGGGAGGGGTACAAATTCACAAAAATGGTATGAAATGGTAAAAGCCTAAATATCCCCAGCAGAGTCGCCATGTTGTCGCGCCACCTTTTTCCTTCGCGGAATCGGGTTTATGACATTTTGGTTGGGACAACTCTTTCCTTTTAGGAAAGCGGGTTTACAGTTTGAAGAGTAGCCACCTAACTATTTAAGGTGCATTAGGAACCTATAAGGTTCATTTATAACTACGTTTGGTAACCAGAGATAGGGTAAGGGCTTGAAATTATCCCAAGGGGAAGGTGTTAGGCACCCCTCAGGATCCACTAGTGTGGTTCCCGGCCAAACAAGTTTTTGTGAATTTGTACAATTAGCAAATAAGCAAGTATGACTCAAATAGTAGGGGATTTAAGTTTAAATACACAAGTGTTTTAAAAAAAAATAATCAGTGAAAAGCGAGATTTTGAAAAGAGTTACAATCTAACCATATTTGGGAAATAAAATGGGGGTGTCCTAGGTTTGTTTATAATATGGATCACATCAATGCAATACTCGGTATGACACTCCTCAAAGAGAGCTACACGTGGTATTAACACACCGGTCATCATATCCATATCTACACTTTCTCGCCCCGTGAAGATAGTTAAAGCGAAGGTTGGTCCCGATCCCTATTGCATGTTGTTACCCATCCCTTCCTAATAGTCCCAGAGGAATTTAGGACTTTTATCCTATAAATGGGGTGCTAGGCATACCATCGGGTTTAAAGGCAAAATACTAGGTGACAAATAAGAACACATAGGACTGCATTTAGGGGGGAAACACAGAAAACAGATAGAAGGATCAGTTATACCTTCACAAGTAATGCACATAGACAACACGACTCATACACAGATAAGGTCCACATTCAGATCCTATGCATGGTATCTAAGTGACAACAGTAGAATCAGATTTATTACATGACTCAAAAAAGAAGTCCGAATTAGTAGTCCGAATTAAAAGAAAAATTTATGATATTTTAGTTGCTTTTGAAATAATATATGTAATGGAACAAGCATTTACAGAACTAATTGTATCACAAGAAATAGATATATTAGATCTATACGAATTGGATTTATATTCAGATTAATGACCACATATCAAGTTAATAAAATCTTTTTATAAATGAAACATAACACTTTTCATTATATAAGATTCTATAATACCCAGAAATGGAAACTTCTTAAAAACCTCAGTAACATAAATAGAAAAATAGATTGTGTTGAACATAATATTAAAATCTGCAAAAATATAATTAGATATAATAGACTACGTAATAAAGCTTTATTAACTATAGAAAAAGAAATTGAATTCTATAAAGATAATCTTGAGACTTATCAACACAGAAAAATCATAATTCTTGTAAATATTAAAACAATGAATATATGTATCAACAGGTATACATCGCAGTATTAAAATGAACAAATCAAAAATTGATAGTTATGAATATTTTAAGTATTGGTTAGAAACTCTAAAACATATAAATTTGGCAAAAAATTATTAAAAAGAAATATAGAAGAATATCAAAAAACCAAAGATATTAAATACTTAGAATACACACTTGAAAACATAAAAGAAATTTCAAGGTTAATTAAATTAGCTGCAGATAATAATGAAAAAGCATTTAATTCCGCAACACCCAAAATTGTTTTTTTTAATTCCGCAACACCCAAAAAGCATTTATATTCTGTTTTAGATATTATATCGATTAATTCAGATAATCTAGCTTTATTTATTTTTGTAATACTTAGGTATTCATATTCTAGGTATAATTTTTTTAGTTTCTTCCTTATTTTCCTTGATTTTTTAGTTATTTTAATCAGTGTATGTTCTCTAATTGGTTCACTGGTTTTAGATAGTTTTTGCGGAGTTACACTATCAATATTTTGTTGTCTTTCATTATTAGCTAGCTCTGATACCAATTTTGGGTGTTGCGGAATTAAATGCTTTTCATGATTATCTGCAGTTAATTTAATTAACCTTGAAATTTCTTTTATGTTTTCAATTGTGTATTCTAAGTATTTAATATCTTTGGTTTTTTGATATTCTTCTATATTTCGTTTTAATAATTTTTTTGCCAAATTTATATGTTTTAGAGTTTCTAACCAATACTTAAAATATTCATAACTATCAATTTTTGATTTGTTCATTTTAATACTGCGATGTGTACCTGTTGATACATATATTCATTGTTTTAATATTTACAAGAATTATGGTTTTTCTGTGTTGATAAGTCTCAAGATTATCTTTATAGAATTCAATTTCTTTTTCTATAGTTAATAAAGCTTTATTACGTAGTCTATTATATCTAATTATATTTTTGCAGATTTTAATATTATGTTTAACACTATCTATTTTTCTATTTATGTTACTGAGGTTTTTAAGAAGTTTCCATTTCTGGGTGTTATAGAATCTTATGTAATGAAAAGTGTTATGTTTCATTTATAAACAAATTTTATTAACTTGATATGTGGTCTAATTCATATAGATCTAATATATCTATTTCTTGTGATACAATTAGTTCTATAAATGCTTGTTCCATTACATATATTGTTTCAAAAGAAACTAAAATATCATAAATTTTTCTTTTAACATAGTTATTAAGTCTCTTAAGGATATATAACATAAGTATTTTGTAGTCAATATTTTCTTCTAATAAATACGTGTGGTTGTTCATTCAGATTTATTATTTATCCATATCATGTGTTTACTAAACATATTCCCTCTAACCTCTTTGTTTATCATAAAGTTTATCATATTTTAATAAGTTATACTGTACAATCTTTTCTGGTCACTACCATATTTTTCATGCTTCAATCATTTACCCTAACAGCGCCTCAACTCTGTGTACTCCACTAAACGGCTTCCTTGCCTATTGGTTTCCACTTTAGGATGACATAGTCTGGGCTTAACTACTCTCAGCATTATTAGACAGACAAACTTTCTCAAGATGTTCTTTATAACAGTACTATAACATGATAAACAATTATGATATTCAAGAGATTATAAGGAATATATGAGTTTAGTTAAACATGATTATGAATAAACTTACCTGGTTTTGTAACTCGTTTGAATGCTCCATAGCTTTCAGAAGTTTGTATATACTTAGATATTTTATTGAGAGAAGATAAGAGAGAGAAGGTGATGATGAGGATGTCTGAGGATGCTCACTCCTCTTCTGATTTACAAAATATATAGAAAATTTAAATGACTCCTACTGTTCATGAACGACCTTTACTGTTCATGAATGTGACTCGTACNTACTATTTACTTTACGACTTTTTTACATGACTCTTACTATTCATGAACGACCTTTACTGTTCATGATTATGACTCTTACTATTTACTTTACGACTTTTTTACATTATTTGTTTTCAATAGCTGTTTCGTTCATTTGTCTTCTTGCTGATACCTTCATTCTAGTTANATTATGGGTTTTATTTCATCATATAGTATTTCAGCTGGTGCTGTATAGAATTTGATGAAGAATATGCTGCCTTTTGTAATTCTTTTGAAGGTGTCAAATGCTTTGTATAGCTCTGGTATTCCAATTATTTCTTCTCCGTCGTGGGTATATACTGTGCTAAGTAGTCCGTAGTTGTAACATGTTTTTACTAGGTTGACTTTTGTTTTTGGTTGGGCTATAAGTCTATCATATCCCTGTAGTTTTTGGGTTACATAATCCTGTGTTGGATCTGTAGTAGTAGTTGATCTCGGGTTTAGGTTCAAGAATGTCTGAATTTTATATATATTCTCAATATATGTTTGAGTAATATGGTTATATACCTTTTTGTTGTGGTGTAGGCTATTAGCATAGGTTGAAGTTTGTGGGGCTATAACTATTGCTTCTCTTGGCTTTTTTGATGTAAATGGCTTATCAAATACGGTATTTAGGTTTACATTGATATGTGGCTTTTTGCTAACTTGTTTGCTTGTACCTGCAGCTGTATATAAAGCAACTGTGTTATGGGTTTTTTGGAGTTTCCCAACGTCTCCTTCTAACTCTGGAAGTTTAGAGTCTTCCGATCGACCTAGTTCCGCATTTTTATAGTCATGCTGCTGACTTAGCTTGCTTTCCTCTAGCTGTTGTAATCTTTTTCCCATACCATCCATCTGTAAAGATAGAGTAGTAGGGATTGTAAATATGTCTTTTGATTCTTGGCTTTCATCTGTTTGGGTACCTTTGTCTTGATAGGTAGTCTGCAATAACATTCTTGTCAGTTCGTATTACTTCAATTGTAAATGTAAAATTTTGTATATTCAATACAAATCTCCTTATTTCCTTTGTAGTTGCTGAATCCTGCACTTTCCGTGTTATCCACCATTTTACTTGTGTATTATCTGTTCTTACTATAAACTTGTTATAAACAATATATGGCTCAAATGCTAACAAACATTTATATAATCCAAATAGTTCTTTCCTATTTATCTCCCATTTTAATTGTGGTTCCGTGTATGATCCTGAATAATATCTACAATGGTGTTCAATATTTTCATTATCATATTTATATTTTAGAACTCCTCCATAGCTGTGATCACTATAATCAGTCTTTACAATATATGTGAATTTTTTCTTTTCATCTGGGAAATATAGTTTTGGTAATTTTTTACACATATTTTTTTTCTTCTGTATATGTATTTTATCCTTTTAGTCAAAATAATATTCTATATCCTTTTTTAATTTTTTCTGTAATGGTTTTAAGTTTTCTGCTAATTTAGGAATATATTC